AAAATGATAATGACAAATAAATAAATAAACTTAATTATATAAAATTTAAATACCTATGATAATATAACTAATGATGTCCTAACCATAGTTAATGGAGCGGAATGGTTGGGAAACCCATTGTTCTTTGTTTTTGTTCGACTTTATCCATTGTTATACAGTCAATTCAAAAAATGTTGTCGTCGACCAACTCAAGCCTACGCGACTGGACCGAAAGGAATATGGGTAGTAATCATTGAAGCCGAGTTGACTCCATAATTTTATCTGACTAGTTATGCCTGGTTTCCAGCACGAACCTTCGTAGGCGAGCGGGAAGTGTTGAAGGATACGTTTTTTTAATGCCTTCATATTTTCGGAATTGTGAACTGAATCATAACTACTTTGTTTTTCTTTCCCTAAACCCAAAGACATGCATTTGATGGATTGTTTCTCGCCATTATTATCTTTGCTACTAGCGGGAACGATTAATTCAGAACGAATATTTAACCGCTTCAGTGGTTTTTACCCATATTCCTTTCGGTCCAGTCGCGTAGGCTTGAGCCGGTCGACGACAACGCTTTTTGAATTGACTGTATGACGTTGACGGTGCACAGAGAAGAAAAAGCTGCTCCGTTTGTTCATAGTATTCAGGAATATAGAAGTTTTTAGCCTTAAAAAACGTTCTAAAATACTTTATTATTTGTTAATTAATCCTATATGATTAATACAAATTGTTTATTGAAAAGGAAATTGCCTTTTTTCATGCTTTCTTATTTATCATCTAGTAACTTAACTGTGTCTGCGCGGAAATATTTATCTGCATAGTTTGTGGTCATCGAATGAAACTTTTCACTTTCAAAATGTTCATACATGAAAATAATAAGGAAATGAGTGTTTTCAGCCATAGTTGCTTTGGTCCATTGTGCACGGTCAGTATCACGTGATGGTACGGTTCAACATCAAACGCAAAACAATAGCTTTGTCTATGGAGTTTCCAAACCATTCCACTCCATTAACTATGTCCTAACTAAGAGGTCTCTTATGTAAAATATGAATAACATATCATAGTAGTATTCTATACTATATGAAACAAAAACTATGATATATACACCTACTTGCAAGAACGTTGTCAACGATATTAGAACATTAGTAATTTAGTGAGAAAGGAATACATTAAAAGACAAAAGAAAATGTTCAGCTTCAGTGATCTTCTTTTGTTTTTTAATGTAATTCCTATCCCACTAAATCACTAATGTCAACGTTCTTGCAAGTAGGTGTATATAAATTTTGAAAATTTATGAAGTACCTAACGGAAGGAAGGAAGTCTTCAAGCTGGCTTTGTTATGAATAGCGTTTACCAAGAGTACAGGAGCATGGCACGAATTGATGGTTTTCACGGCGGCTATTTTGGAGGAACTTGACAAACGAATTATCAATGAATTCTTTYGTTATATCCTCCAACATGGTCGCCGTGTCTTTTGTTATTTAATTCTCTTGGGAATGGTTGAAAACTATCAATAAGGACCCTAAATGCTCGGGGGGTCTAAATACTCATTAATTATTCATAATTTTGTAAAGTCGATCAATAAACTCGAAGATCGAGTTTTATCAGGTCTAAAACCACTCGGCTCCTCGTGGTTGTATATCTGATACAACACGGCCACTCATACTGTATATATTACATAGACCACTTCTGCTCATTCATTAAACTATACTAAAAATATAGAATAAAAAAAATATATAATATATGTATATATATTAAAATATATGCATATAATTCACTTGTTATGTCTGCATTACTTGAATTCAGCAATGAAGTATATTTCAAACATTTTAAAACAATTTAGATTGAAGTAAACGTAGTCTCCAAAGATAGAGTAATGGCATTAAACCAGTGCAATAGATACTAGACGAACACACTTTAACTCACTATTTGATCAAATTTCTTACACTGCTATAGGTATTTTCACTACTTACCAAAGCACGACAAAGCGACCACCATGCAAAGTTGTCTTAATAACAAAGTAGAATCCATCTGCCAAGAAACAGCTCTTTACGAAACTACTAACTTGACGAACCTTCCTTTAATTTGCTGCCAGAGGATTTCTTTTAGCTCAGTCTTTTTCAGTAATTTTCTAGTGGAAAATTTCGTCCGTATTTATGAACGTTTTGTAACTTATTCAATAGACGGGAAAAATATTTTGATGGTATTCATTTTTCCTAGAATACGTTTCGACAGAGCGATTGTTTACAAAGTTTGGAATTTGTCTCATTTTGGCACAGGGAGCCCAATTTAGATAAAAGTGCTAGATGATAAAATCTGGAAAATATATTATTCATTGAAAAARAAAGGGGTTAGAGTCTAAAAAAGGTGCTGACAAGAATAAATGAAGTTCATTTTCTCTCGCAATTGTGCTACAAAATACCAGGGAACGAGGAATTCAAGCAATTGTATATCAGTATAATACAGGGAAAAAAAAGATTTCGGTCGCGCTTGTTTTCTTATGTAATTCCCCTCGGGTCGCCGTGAAAGTAACGTTCGCTGGAGAGCGAAAGGACGTCTGTTTTCTCAGGCTACCGTGAAAGATAAATGGTCTTTCGTCTATCGTAAGAATCAGTATTTAAAAAGTAGCTCAAGTCTGCTTCTAACTAGCGGCGAAAGCATCTCCCGTCATCTTGCGCGTACGTCGCTTCTTTTCATACTAAGAACATAGTCGCTAGCAACCCCCCGGGGAGGGGGGGGGGGTCCTACCACCCCAACTTGGGTAGGGGTGTGCCGCCAGGAGATCAAAACCATGACCCTATCCCAGACAAAAAATTGATTTTACATACCCTACCCCAGACTAAAACTAAGAATTGTACACCCTATCCCAGACTGAAACCCCAACATGTATGTTGAGTTTTAAGATATGGCCATTATTGAAACCATTTCAAACAAACAGTAGTGTTAACTATACTCTCGGTCATATTACCTTTTGTTGACATGCAAAAGACGGTTATTCAATAGATTGCAATCAATATTTACTAACGTTTTTATTGTTTTTGTGCCGTCAGAAAGCGTAGCCTTTTCGCCAAACAAAAACAACCAAATCGTTAACCCTATCCCAGATGAAAATGTCAAAAAATTATACCCTACACCAGACCCAAAAGCCGAAAAACCGTACCCTATAGGGCGGCACATACCCGTATAGCAAATATAGGGGAGGTCCCCCCCCCCCCACGGACTAGTGAAAACCAGATGGCCTTCTGTATTTAGCTTGCCACTGTTAACGCTCCTTATCTATTACGGTGATTTGGAGCAAACCTTTTTACGGGCCTATTGTTGTTTTAGAAGACTATCGTTACTTTACGCCGACAACAATACAATAAAAATAGTTTTAAGTATATACTTTACTTAAGTTCATATACGGTAAAAAACATCAGTAATAACTTATTGCACATTATGCTATTTAAAAAAAGATGTCGGAGCCAATGGCAACACGCGATCCGATCTCCTATCTCTATCCCCTAAAATGCCGGTTTGTTTTGCAATGTTAGCTAATTGTAAACAAACAAATGTCAACGAATGTCTAAACGCGAAAGATACTAATGTTATTAATGTTTTTTCGTGTGGGAATCACCAATTTCGAGTAGAATAGAGTGCTTTTCGTACTAATGAAAACATCCCATAACATTGCAATGGCCTCTCAATGTCTTAAATTAATTTATCCGATTACGACGCGTAGTCACGGCTACGCTATGATACGGTAAGGCTTCAATACAACTACCAATTTGTCGTATTGTTTTCCACCTAATCTATACGACAACCGTTCTAACACGAAACTTACTTCACAAAAACTAGACCTTTAAGTTGTGATCAGAATTACGTATAAGATCATCGGTCTGAGTTAACATCAAACTGAACAACTGTAAATTCGTCATTCGTCATTTCAGGGTTCGAAGCAATGCCCTGACTTTAGTTTACAGGATTAGATTCAATTTGAAGGTCTTGAAGTTGAGCGGAAGTTTAATTGAAGTTTTGAAGTTCATCTCTTGAGTGTCAAGGCACGACTATAACACCGCCGACAACCTTTATGTCTAAGTTCTTTCAGGCTTCAGACGGTTGGTCCTCACGAGTTTCAGATAGGGGTGTAACGTCAGTCCTGCCCCCTTCAAGCTGATCGTTCTCAACCAGAACATTAGCTTGATCATCCTGTTTTCGCTTTCCACAGCAAACCCATAATGCGAAGCCATTAACAAAAGCAAACATGGTACTAGCCACACCTATTACTCCCGCTACTGCAGGCGTCACATCTAAACGGTTAAAAAAAATCGTTAGCGATTTAGTTACGTTACGTGTGTGCGAGTCTTGAAGTCAAAACTTTATTGAAATTAACCTGTCACCATACAAAGGCATTGAGAGACAAGTTTGACGGACAAGTTTGAGAACGGAATTGCACCGTGTAACACCCAAGTGAAACTTGTCTTGAACGCCGTTGTATACAAGACTTAGCTAAAAGTTTCAAAATGTAACAGGGATGTCGTTAAGCTACGTTTAAGGCATCAGATAAAACATATAATACCTTCAGTTTGCGGTGGATTTGCCCTACACTTGCTCATCGTTAAAGAATTGGTTGTCTTGACAATAGTGTCACATGACTTGGACAAAAATCCAAGGATATCGTTGGTCACGTGCCTCAAGGTATCACAGGCTTTGTGGTAACATTTTGTCATGTAGCTTCTCATGTTTGCCGTATCGCTCAAGAAGATGGCTCTGTTGGATGTAATTTCGTTCCAGAAACTGACGTGATCGCTTCTGAGGAAAGGGCGTATACGACTTTTTTTTTTTTCAGAAAGGTTGCTTTCCGGTCCATCAAAAGGAAGTGGGAAAACTTGCAGCTTGTACTTGTTACCCAGTTCGACACGGCCTGAAATTATATAATTGTGAAAGGGAAGCCTTATGGTAATGTGTGCCTAAAAGGATTAGACTAAAAACACTAACACTTGCAACACTTGCAACATGCACAGCCTGACGTACCAACACGTGCAACACAAGCATCAGCAACACGCACAGCCTGACGTACCAACACGTGCAACACAAGTATCAGCAATATGCACGTACCAACACGCGTGCAACACAAGCATCAGCAACATGCACAGCCTGACGTACCAACACATGCAACACAAGTATCAGCAACATGCACAGCCTGACGTACCAACACGTACAACACAAGTATCAGCAACATGCACAGCCTAACGCACCAAAACGTGCAACGCAAGCATCAGCAACATGCACAGACTAACGTACCAACACGTACAACACAAGTATCAGCAAAATGCACAGCCTAACGTACCAACACGTTCATTACAACAAGGTGCATTCCTATGGCTCTGGTCAGAGCACCTAACTGGTATCAGGAAGGTCATGGATTCGATTCCTATCAGGGACTCTGACTTTTTTCTGTGTTTTTTTCAGTTAGTGACTAATGATAAATTATTATATAGTGACTTCTATCCATACCGTAATGGTAATTAAAGGTGTTAAGCAGTTGCATATCGTCTGTATATCGTCCCGTAGCGATTAAGAAATCACCCCTGTTCTGGTTTGCTGTTATACTTTTATACTGCTGGGGGAAAATCGTATTCAGTTGTAGGGGCACGATTTGTGAATTAGGATTGGAGTCGTAGTTCATCATAGTGTCCATGATAATAGCACCCTGAAGCTGACCGTAACGAGCGATAGACATATCGGGGGACAAATTCCAATACTGACTCGAATTGGCCACAAAAGCACGGCTTCCACACCCTAGTTTATCGCATGCGCAGCCTGGTAATGCGCTGTCCTCCCACTCTTCAAAGTCAAAGGCGACAAACATGACAGAATATTCACGAGTGCATCTACCTGTGACGGAAAAGAAAATTGGTTTTAAAAATGTTATGCGCATTGCGAATTATCCTTTCTTACGAAAGAACTTATTTTCAAGTGCTTCTCGATAGCACGCGCGAAATCTTCCTCGCGAGCGATGTTGGTTTTGGTAGACGTYAATCAAGGCGTTTCCATGACATAATATAGTCACATACCCTTGGATAATATGCGTATTCCGATGTTGTCACAGAAATACTTTAAAACTTTATTTAGTTGCTATCGTATTGTATGAATCGCGCGTGGTTATTAGAAGCAGTGCAACYCACCATGAGAAATATTGAACTCACTTGAAKCTTTAGMCAGTATTCTTGCTACTTGCAGCATAGCAACAACGCCTGAGCCGTTGTCGTCAACGCCTTTTGTAGTGCGCACAGTGTCATAGTGTGCGCCAATCAGAATCAGCCTGTCGTATCTTTTTTTATACTGCCTACCGGGCAACACACCCACGATATTAGTACCGATCTGTGGTTTCCCTGGTTCCTTGAAAACATAAGTTAAAATTAGCTAGTATCATTGCAAAGATAAATGACTGTGTTTAACTTTGATAGCACCTTAAGGAAAAGGAAGTGAAGGAGGGTAGAGTTGGAGGAAAAAGAAGGGGAGCAGGTGAAAGAGGTAAGTGGAAAGAAGAGAAGAAAGAGGTGGATGTAGGGAGGAGAGGAATAAGAGGAGAAGGTGTAAGAAAAGGAGGAGGAGGGAAGAGGAACTAGGAGATATAAAATAGAGCTTATGCACTATTTTCCAGACCATGTGTCATTGCCTTTAGTAACTTGTAATTATTGTCCATTGAAAATCAAATATATAACTTACTTATAGAGGTAAAGCTTAACAAATAGAATTAAAACGTTTATACTTTAGTGTAGTATACCTTAAACTATACGGGTAGTGCAGGTAGGAGGAAATGGAAGAAGATAAGGAGGGCGTTTAAGAGGAGGAGTGGGAAGACAAGGAAGAGGAGGAGGAAGAAGGAGAGGAGGGGTAAGACGAAGAGTAAGAAGAGTGAGGGGAGGAGTAGAAGGAGGAGGAAGAGGAGAAGGAAGAAGAACACGAAGAAGAAGAACACGAAGAAGAAGAACAAGAAGAAGAAGAACAAGAAGAAGAGGTAGATGAGAAAGGAGGTTTAAAAGGAGGAGTATGATCCAACTTATATACTTTAGTGTAGCATAATATACCCATACCTTAAACTGTTCAGTCCAAGTATGAAGTCCTAAAGAAGTTAATGTGTTCTTGATGTAGTCTTGCGCCAGTTGTTTACCATAAGGATTGATCTTGTGATGACGATTCATGTCGAAATGATTCAGGTCATTTAGCAGGATATTGTTGGTTGATGAACCATGAACAATGTCAACTACTCGAAGAAAAATAACATAATTGGATAAATAAATATGGCAGAGAGAAGAACGGCCAGCCAAAATTGATATACCAGTGCATAAATGTATATGCTTATACAAGTATGATAGAAAGACTTGACGGATCGGATGACATTGTTTGTATAGAAATTTCGGTTCTCATGAATAAATTACAACTGAGACAGATCAGCATTCATTAGATCGTTTAAGTCTTGGTTTATTTCTTTTGTACTGACAACGATTTTTGGAATAGGCCGTGTAAAATAGTGTGCTTTCCAGTGGAATATCAATACAAAGAAGCTTTTAATATAAGTAAATAATTATTAAATTGGCTTTTATTCAGAGGCCAAACGTTCAGAAACGCTAAGTGGTTACAATAGAGAGATTTTAAAAGCTTCTCGTTTACGGCAAACGTGAAACGTCAGTTGACCATTAAAAAATTCTTTGAAATTRGTGAAAAGGAATCGAAARAATCTCCAAGTAGTAGATAAAAAGAAGAATATGTGTCTTTGTCGGGAAGGTTTGCAAAAGGTTAAGTGAATTGTAGTGAAACGTGGTCAAAACGTGGGAATCTTAATCTRCCTAATATTAACATGATAACAACTAAACAAAAGCACTCGTGTATAATGGTAGTGTCATGAGTGATATCGCTTTTAATAATTTTCTAAACTAATGCATATACTACCAGTATTTTATTTAATTAAAATACTGGTGCCTACAATATTCACGAACACAAAATGACTGTTATCAATCAGCCACCCACGTTCCTTTATTTGTTTGAGAAGAAAACGGGACATACTTGTTTTCACTCGGATTTTAATAACCTGATTTATATATATTTCTTTTTTTACGTACAGAATGCAACTAAATCAATTACTTACTCGTTGTCAGGAACAAAGTACGAAGAAATATCGAAGAAAATCTCCAACGCAGATCCATTACGATGTCTTTCCAGTGCTGAAGCAGAGCCCGCGTCTATTTCGATTAAGAAATGCAAACGACTTCCGAGAAATGAGTCTCGTTTCAGTCTTACGCGTTCGTATCTTGGCTCGTGATGGGCAGTACCGCATTTACTCGAATAAGCGCACCGGCGCTTATTACATTTTTTACGTCTATAAAACGGATCGCTTATTCGCGGGAGGCGCTTATTCAATGGGAGGAAACAAGTACACGACTGCCAAACTATGCTTTTCTTTTATATCAATGTCATACTACTACGACAGTACCGGTATTAGTATACGAGGCGCTTATTCGGGGGAGGCGCTTAGCGCAGTTTTCGTATGACTGTGAAAAGTTCAGTGCCGTAAGCGTGACGTGCCGTGACCGTGATACTTTCTAGAATTTTAATTGGCTGATTTTTTTCACGCGCAAAATGATTGGTCTAAAAGTGCCTTGATCTTGGCGTGACCGTGTCCGCGCCGTGTTTGTGCCGTGTTCCGGGTATTTGATTGGATGGAGAATAAATTCTCGTGCAATGTGATTGGTCTGGCGCATCCCTTGGTGTGTCACGACCGCGTTCGTGCCGTGAACTTTTCACAGTCATGCGAAAACCGCGCTATTCGAGTAAATACGGTACTCACATTCCCCAGTCACGCTCATGTATTATATATTTGCTTTTAAAGAAAATGAGTGTCACTGACGAGAAAGAGGAAAGAAGATT